CGCTTTAAGTACTATAACACCTTTAATAGAAAAAAACAGTAAAAGGAAAATTGGGAAATGGTACCTTGTATCGATATGAGAAAACAGTCAACAATATAGCATTTTGGATTATAATATTAAAAGTTTTTTCGCACCTTTTTTCTGAATGTCAATAAGAAATTACAATGGCGCAAATACATTACATCTTTTTATTCTAAATAAATGTTTCTAAACTAGTCCTTAAGAAACTGTAATTTTTTCTCAGTCCCTCTATTATAAATAAAAAAAATGTGATGGACCAAAGTAAAAATGTATTGGAAGTGCAATTTTTTGGCTGATTTAACAGCAACAGAACAATCTCGATGTTCTTGGGCACGCCTTGGGTTCTTTCATATTATTACCAAGAAAAAATGACTCTTAGTGCAAAGAATACTTCGAAAAAGGAGAAATCCTAAATTCTGTTATGAGAGATTGTTAAAATTTTGAAGATATCGAAATGAGATTCATGTAAATCGTTTTTGAAAGTTTTCCCCTTTTCTGTATTAGAAATTCGATTCAAGGAAAAATGAAAGTGGCTTGAGGCGACAGTAACAAAGTTTTCTGATTCGTAGTTTAAAAAGTAATTGTCACACCGCGATGGTTTTTATAATGATATGGTAAATGCAAGATTTTATTTCACAAAAGGGTGTTGATTTCGAATGCAAAATACTCTCTCAGTGTTAAAAAGTTATTATGGTGAAATCGGCTCATTATCTTAAAAATATTACGATAACTCAATTGCATTTTCCCATTTTTATTTGGTTCAAATACAAATGTTGATAATGTTTTTTCGATTAAAAAATATAGCTTTTTTTCCATACAGGAATTACATGTCATTAATTTTATTTATGAGATAAAATTATTAACAAAAGAAGTTCAAATTTCTATTATATTTATTTTCTTAAACATTATTCCGCGTTTTATTTGTACATTGCTCAGTTTTTAATATTACACACATGTTAATGTCACAGCTGGAAGAATAGAAAAAAAATATTTTAAGAGGAAATAAAATAAGTACTGCTGAGCTGATAATTTTAGTTCTCTTATGATCTTATGAATTAATAACTTATTATATTTTATCTTATAACACTTTCTTTATTCATATATGAATATATAAAGAACAATTTTGTGTCCAAGTGCATCAAAATTGTTCTGTTACAGTTAAATTAGCCAAAAAATTTAAAAATTGCAGTTCCAATAAATTTTTGTTTTAGCCCACAACTTTTTTATTAATAATAGTAAAAATACAGTTTCTTTAGGACTCATTAAGAATCATTTATTTAGGGCAAGAAGAAGTATTTGTGCTACTGTAATTTTTTTATTGATTAAAACATTTGGAAAAAAATTAGAGAAAAAGCTTTTCTTGTAATAATCCAAAAAGTCATATAGTTGATTGTTTTCCTAATGATTGTTTTGAGTAAAAATAGTAGTTTCTTCAAGACTCGTTAAGAATAAAAACATTCTTTACGACTTGTTAAGAATAAAACTCAGGAAAGAAAAGCAATTTATATTCTATTTATAATAACACGTGTTTGTGTAAGCATTAAAAATGAGAGAAAAATACTCTGTTTTGGACGTCATTAGAGTTAAAACTAGAAAATTTTTATATTTCCCCAGTAAATTATGTTGGCATCTAATTGTATTTATTATACAGAACTTTTTCCTAATATAAGAAAAGAACAACTTTGTACAAGAAGCATATTTTAAATTTTTACCACATATTATAATTGAAACTGTAGTTTAGTGCAGTAAACTACAATAGACACATAATATGAATGGTGCGAATGTTTATATTCTTTTTTAAATTATGCTATTTTTTACATGAACTTCACCTTTAAAACGTTTCAGTAATACTACAAATGCTATATGTCTAGTCATATTTTAAATTAGAATTCTAGAAAATTTGATTTCACTTTAATTTTTATTGCAATAAAATGTTTTTTTTAAACCTGTCAAAAAATATGATTCTCTAATTTCAATTTTAATGTAAATGAGGTAAATTTATTTAGTTCCATGACATATTTTCTAAGAAATTTTTACCTCCAAACTAATAAAAAAGACTTTTAAACTCAAGAAAAAATAAAGCTTCGTAACTAAGTGTTAATCATATTAAAATTATTTTTAACATAAAAACAGTAGATGGATGTGAATTAAGACTTTAATTGGATATAGATAAAGAACATTAAAATTATTTTTATTAAAACAAAATTATAATTATATCCAATCTGACTGAATGAAAAATATTATACATAAAGCTAGTTATCTACAAAAAAATTAGTTAAAAAGTTAGTTTGGTTGTAAAGTGGAGCAAACTTTATTTTAAACTAAACCTCTAAATATATATTGATTACAAAGCAACTTTAACGTAAAATTTCACATAAAGTGCCATTTTTAGATAGGTAATTTAATAATTCAAATACAATTCGAATCATCATTTTTGTTTCTTAATAATACATTCACTAAAACATGGTTTAAACAGGTGTTTTATAAGATTTCTTTTTACTTCATATTATAAATTAAATTAATCTTTCAAAAAAACAAGCTCAGTGTTAAGTTTTGTTTCAACCTCATTTACTTCTAATTTAGTGAATCCTTGATTATAGAACAAAATTTCCATCAAATTTGAATAATGAGTAGATTTCAATAAATCGAGACAACCCTATGGCGTAAACTATGTGCATATCTGCGAATAAATTTCCGATCTTAAGCTGAAATTATGCGAATAAATTTAGACTATTTATATTTGCACCTGCTTCTAGGGGATCGGAACTCGTCACAGGTGTATGAGCAATTTGATAGGAAAGATTCCAAATAATTTCGAAATATTTCGATTCCCCTGATAAGTCTCATTATTTCAAGGGTGACATGCATAGTGCACCTGAGAGTTGCAGAATTGCTTCGTTAATTTTTTTTATCCTTGTTTCACAAAGTTTGAATATGATCTGAAAAACAAGGAAAAGTTTGTGAAAATCATGAAGTAAGAGTTTGATTTCTTAAGGAATTCAATTCATTAAAAGATCATAAAACGTTAATAAGGTATCAGAGGTTGAATAAAAATGTTCACGTGCGGTTATTGGGAGGTCATAAAAATCTTATTTAATGGTATTCATTTATAATGCTGCATTATGTATACGCAATTTTAAATGAGAAAAAAAATATAAAAAAGAAATAAAATTTTCGAAGACACATAGTGAAAATGAAATGGATCCGGTCATTTGCCTGACACTCGGTTTTTGCCCGATAACTCAAATGCCAAATTCTGTTTTCCCGCCAGCTTAGATGCCCGACAGATTCGTTTGTCCGACAACTCATTTTCGCAACATATGAACTAAATTTGCCCAACAATTTATTTTCCAGACATGTACATTTTCCCGACATTTTATTTTCCGGACTCACTGTGAAATATTCCGGATCAAACTACGGCAAAAACTGCTGGGACCCTGAAGGCATTCATTCCCGTTCCGTTCATTTTACCGTAAAATCCTTTTTAGCCGTAAAATTTTGTGCCCTTATTTTCTCTTTAATGCTTTTTAACTACAGTTATTCTGTGATTTTGCAGTAAATATTACTGTTTATAAAAATTACTCTATATAAGATTTTTTCTTCTGTAAAATTTTAGTGTAAAAATGGATTTTACGATAAAAAGTACTTGCACCCTGAGTGCCGGTACTTCTTACCGTAATTCGTTCCAGAATTTTTCACATTACAGGTATGTTTGCCCTACAGGGCTGACATGTGAGGGAAATTAATATAATATTTCTCTGTTGGCAACCATTTAACCTTTTTAATGAGATTGAGTTACTTATGGTAAGTAATGACTGTTAATGCAGCAACAATTTATTTAGTAAACCTTTCTCTCTGCTTTGCAAAGGACTTGGGGCCTTTCAAAATTATAGTTAACTCCGATTTGCATTAAAGGGTTTTTATTTTTATTTTTTATTTTTTTTCAGGTGCTTGCTTTTTTTTCTTTTTTATTAATGTTTTTATTGTTTTTATTCTCTTTGTTTCTTTTTATTATTTTTATTATTTTTGTTTCATAATTATTTTAAATTCGTTTTTTTCTTCTTAATTTTTTCATGCTTTTTTAAACATTTTTACTGGGTTTTTTCGAAAAAAATAAGCTGTTGGGTAAACGAACCTGTAGGGCAAATGGTGCAGGGCAATCAATTTGTCGGGGATCCGAGGGTCAGGGAAATGCACCGAACCTGAACAAAATTGGATTATATTTTACGCAGACTAAGTCCTTTATGATTATTTTAAAACAAATCCCCTTAAGAAACTGAAATTCAGACTTTAAATTAGTTTCCATGAATTTAAAATACTTTAAGAAAAATAATGAGCTCAAGAGACACTGCGTGTGTTCAACAACTATTTAGATAAAAATATTTTCATCCATATTATTGCATTTTAGTTTTATTTTAAATTAATAAGAAATTAGGAATTGAAACAAAAAACAAGAAATGAAACTGTTTCTCAAATGAATAAATGATATTCCTTGTATTAAATAACACTATCAGAATATTTAAAAATTCATTTTTGCTTAAATGTTCATAAAATCTACCATATTATCATCGAAAATTTTTTTTTAATATTTTTAAATTTAAGTCCTTATAAATGTATAAATAATTTAACTAGATTCCCGAAAAACTGATTTTGTTAGCATAGTAAGTTTTTTTTTTTAATTTCTCTACCAGGTAAATTTCCTTAGCAGATCTTTAGCAGGTAAATTAAAATTTGTTGGTGTATTGGTAATATTTTGCTTGCTGTAAGCCTTCCAAACCCCGGAAGGAATTGTAGTCCCTTTACAATATTTCTTGTTTGGTTTTTGGATGAAGCAAACCTTACATTTTATAGATTTTGTTTTACAATTTTAACAATAAGATTATAATAATAATGATTTCTTGAATATATTTGAATATATTCACTCAATTTTTATATAAATATTTAAAAATTTACTGAAAAAACAGAAATTTATTACTTACCACACCATGGCATAAGCTTAACATAACTGATGAGCTTGGATCGCCGGATACATATCCTTTATAAAAACAGTTTTTAAAGCTTGAAGGTTTACGAATTATTAAGGAAGAATTCAATTCTCCCTCATTTACAGTCATAATGTTAAAAATAGGAGATAATAAGCCTTCGGCGGGATTAACTCGTATATTGAATGTTTCATTGAAAGCTGTAAATGTATAAGATAAAAATCCTAAATTGTCCAATCTATTCAATTTCTTTACTTGCTTCAGTTGTACAATTTCACTTTTTTGTTGGCGAGCAGCACCTGAAATTATTAAAAAAAACATAAATTTAGATATTAAGGAAACATCAAAAAATTATTATAGTTTAATAAGTGCTTTATTTAAATATGAGATATATAATTGGCAACTTTTAATGTTATGATAAATTTTTTTTCCGATAAAGCCTTGATAAAATGCAACGGAAAAACTTCATTTGGAATAACGTTATTATGAACCGCTTTACCAACTATATCAAAATGCCTGTTACAACATTAAGAGTTTGGACATCCTAGAATGAACAGGAGAAGAAAGCAATAACAATGTAGTAAGCTCTATTTTACATAAATACTGATACTTATAGTAGTTTCAACAATATTTTCAGTCTTCAATAAACAGCAAATGTAATCTTAACTAATAGTCCCACGTAAGATTCATTGTTTATCAAATGGTGATACAATGCTACACATTTCCAATAAATATTCTAATATGCAATCTAATGCTGAACATTTTTTACGATATTTTAATGTTGATACATTTACTTCGCAAAACCTTATCAACGCAGTCAAACTTAGTGTAAATCCGAACAACCTCATTCAGATTATCGTTGTACTGATAGTTAAGGTACTAAAAGGTAAGGTAAAAAACAACGTAAAGAGTACAAGTGAACGAAATAAAACAGGTGATCGTTTCAAAACTATACAAAAGTAGTGAAGAGGAGAGTTATGTATAGTGTGCTTCGCCTTCTCGATACTGATGAAGGTACTTTTATATAGTTTTGAAACGATCACCTGTTTTATTTGATAGTATTTAAGCGATGTAGTACTTAAGCGATGTAGTGATCAGGCGATATCTGTTTCATAAATTTGTTCATTTGTGTTTATTACGCTGATGTTTTTTTCTTTTTTTTCTTATTTTAAATTTTATACAGTCTGTAAAAATTTCATATAGTAATCTTCAATAGTTAACAGATGGGCCATTTCGAAGTTAATATTTACAGGAAAAGAATCTCTTTCCTTTCCTGATAATAGAAAAGATATACGCATATATTTTTTTTCCAATTATTCATAATTGAGCCGTGATGGCCCAAGGGATAGAGCACTAGTCTGCCAGTGAGGTTACCCGGATTCGAATCCCAGCAGATGGCAGGTGGATACGAATTCCGCACCCGTCTCGCACTGACAGCAGTGCTGACGTGAAATATCCTCAATGGTAGACGGATCATAGGTTGGAGTGCCCTTGCCGTGAGGCTAATCGTGGGAGGTTTCCGCGCCCATGAGGTTACCCGGATTCGAATTCCAGCAGATGGCAGGTGGATACAAATTCCGCACCCGTCTCGCAATGACAGCAGTGCTGACGTGAAATATCCTCAATGGTAGACGGATCAGGGGTTGGAGTGCCCTTGCCGTGAGGCTAATCGTGGGAAGTTTCCGTGCCAATGAGGTTACCCGGATTCGAATCCCAGCAGATGGCAGGTGGATACGAATTCCGCACCCGTCTCGCAATGACAGCAGTGCTGACGTGAAATATCCTCAATGGTAGACGGATCATGGGTTGGAGTGCCCTTGCCGTGAGGCTAATCGTGGGAGGTTTCCGTGCCCATGAGGTTACCCGGATTCAAATCCCAGCAGATGGCAAGTGGATACGAATTCCGCACTCGTCTCGCACTGACAGCAGTGCTGACGTGAAATATCCTCAATGGTAGACGGATCATAGGTTGGAGTGCCCTTGCCGTGAGGCTAATCGTGGGAGGTTTCCGCGCCCATGAGGTTACCCGGATTCGAATTCCAGCAGATGGCAGGTGGATACAAATTCCGCACCCGTCTCGCAATGACAGCAGTGCTGACGTGAAATATCCTCAATGGTAGACGGATCAGGGGTTGGAGTGCCCTTGCCGTGAGGCTAATCGTGGGAAGTTTCCGTGCCAATGAGGTTACCCGGATTCGAATCCCAGCAGATGGCAGGTGGATACGAATTCCGCACCCGTCTCGCAATGACAGCAGTGCTGACGTGAAATATCCTCAATGGTAGACGGATCAGGGGTTGGAGTGCCCTTGCCGTGAGGCTAATCGTGGGAAGTTTCCGTGCCAATGAGGTTACCCGGATTCGAATCCCAGCAGATGGCAGGTGGATACAAATTCCGCACCCGTCTCGCAATGACAGCAGTGCTGACGTGAAATATCCTCAATGGTAGACGGATCAGGGGTTGGAGTGCCCTTGCCGTGAGGCTAATCGTGGGAAGTTTCCGTGCCAATGAGGTTACCCGGATTCGAATCCCAGCAGATGGCAGGTGGATACGAATTCCGCACCCGTCTCGCAATGACAGCAGTGCTGACGTGAAATATCCTCAATGGTAGACGGATCATGGGTTGGAGTGCCCTTGCCGTGAGGCTAATCGTGGGAGGTTTCCGTTGTTTTCCTCTCCATGTAACGCAAATGTAGTTTAGATCCATCAAAAAGTCCTCCAAGAAAACAAATTTCTCCTAATACTTTTTCCAGGAGTTCCTTTATCATCAGTATTGGGTTCAAAATTACAAGGTTACAGAATTAAACATTGGTAGTCGTAAACTCAAAACTGGGTCGGCTGTGCAACAACGGTTATAAAATAAAATAAAAATTATTAATAATTGAAAAAGAAGTTGAAAAATTGAAGAGGACATCAGGAAAACTTTTAATCTACAACAGTACTGGAATTACATTGATTTTAATAATTAATGGTAAGTAGAGGTATTTTAAAAACATAATTAACCCTCAATAGATAACTCATAACAATATTCTCTTTTTTTAATTATATTGAAACACCTTAATTACACTTTATAAATATTAAAGAGCGCAGTTTAGTGATGAAAATATTTATATTTTACACTTGCATATCACTTTCATAAAAATGTGACAATAAAAAAAATCTATAAAAAATATAAGCGCAGTTTATTTGATTTTCGCTCCATTACAAATACTGCATAAACATCTTTTTCTATTAAATCGCGTAACACCAGCTTCCACAATATTCATATCAAAAAGCAAAATGCCATTCTTCAAAACAAATTGACTGTTCCGTTCGCCATTTTTCACTTGGCATCGTTCTTTATGGCGAATATTAATTATGACGAAAAACCTTGGGTTATGTTTTGGAACAAGAAAAAGAAATCTGCGAATGACATTTTTCAGCCTGTCGGAAATATTTTTGTCACGATAATAAGGGTTAATAAAACATTTTCACCGTGTTTTGCTTCTCCATATCATAATTTTGAACATAAAAATAATAGATTTATATATTAGTAAATGAAAATGTGACGCACGCTGTAAGTGAAGCTTTTTCCTTTCCTTTTTTATTTTTTTTTTTATTTTTGAAACGCATGATTAATAAATTTCCTATCTTCCTTCAGACTGCTTCCACACTAAGACGTGTGAAACGTCTTTGTTAGCGCGTTCATCTGCGTCGGCCTTGACTAACGACCTTTGCGTCACCACTGTCGGCCCGAAAGTTTGACATCTGAATTCGACCGGTGTCGAGTTTTTTTTCCCCCTCAGCTTTATGAGAGACAGCAAGAGAAATTAGATAGGTTTTATTTCCTATGGCAATGATACGTAAGAAAATCGGAAAAGTGCTTAAATTTCGTTTTTTTGCTAACTATTTAGTTCTTTTGTTTTGGAATTGAACAAATTATAGAAAGCAGCATTCCACTTGAATCAATAGCATTATAAGACAATGCATTCATAGAGGCCTGGAGGAGTAGGATCATTCTTAATCGGCCAAATAATTTTAAAAAATTAAAAAGTTTCACAAAAAAGCCTCATGAGATTTAACACCCCACGGAGAAAAGTCTGGTAGAATTACCGTATTGTAGTGTAATGACATTTCTAACAAACAGAAAAAAGAAAGAAAAAAAACTGGTTATAAAAGCCAAAATAAGCGCAATTTAAATCATTCACTTGGTAATTTTTCCGTTAAAGTAGTAGCGATTTACCAGAATTTCTAATTTTCGAAATTATAGTCCTTATTAACTCAGATTTAGTAAAAATACAATACTGAAATTTAAATTTAACCGAATAAATTGTTATTATGCCATGTTTTAAAGTATCATGACAAAACTGCCAAATTTTTTTATATGTTATCATTATGATAAAGTATTATATGATATCATTACCAAATCATTGAAGATTATATGGAAAATATTTTAAGCCAAAGTTAGGTCATGTGTTGTTTGAAATTGCTTACATTTATATTTTAGTTATATTGAAACACAATTACGTGAAAAAAAACTTTCAAGAAAATGCACAAAACTTTCAGTTTATTTAAATAACTCATTTTAAATTTTCCACAGATAAATATATAGAATTATCTCTCAGGGAGGTAAAGAGATATTTAAACAAGAATACAAATATAGACGCAAAAACGGATAAACAAATATGAAAATATTTACATCAGAGAAATCAAATCAAGAGAAAGAGAGAGGAAATTATGTTTAGTCTATCAACATAACCACTGTCATAAAAACATTATTATCGTAAAGATAACTTTTCTCTTAAAGCAAATTACATATATTTAGTTCATTTTTCAAATACGTTATACGCTTTTAAATTCAACACAATTCGCAATTCAATAATCCCACGAAAACATGATTAAAGACAAATTTATTCTGTCTCACTAATATACAAAGCAATAATTTAACTAGAAGCATTTTTACTTAAATTTCAAGTCATTTTGGTCATTAAATGCACTTTATTTGCTTATAATATTTACTTTGACATCCTTATAGTTAACAATAAAAAATGATGTATGATAGCATGATAATAGTTTCACTTTAAAATTATTTAGCAAATTATAATTTTTTTTTCATCACTATTATCTACTTTCATCTACTTAAGTATTTTACAGAAAGTATCATCAAATCGTTCTGCATAAAGATTTCTCAAATAATTTATCTTAGCGATTATACTTTACCATTAGCCTCAGTACATGATTACCATCATCGGTATATTTTTTCATAAATTGATAGCGAAATTGAAAATAATTATGAATGTCTCATGTTTTTCATATCTACCT